GATTAATCTTGTGAATCTTTTAATACATAAGTTTTCAAGGACTGATTATTTTAAAATTTATCATGTAGTTCTTATCTCACTGTCATTACAAAAAAAGACTTCAGACTTTAAAAATACATGTATGTAAAACCAATGTCTAAAATCACAGCTTTCTGTGAGTAACACACAGTTTTTTTTTCAGATGAGCATCTGTCAATTTGCTGAATGTTTTTTTAATCATAATAGGTCATAGGTGTATTTCAGAACAGTCAAAAATGTTTTTTTTTCTCAAATATCTCTTGACCAATATATTGAGATTTTATTTGTAAGAATTAAGTAAACAAAAATTACCAGATCAGCATTGGAAAGATGTCCACATTTATATGCATTTAGTTTTATAGAGTGTATCCTCATTTGTATTGTTACTATTGTACAATGTAGGTTCAATTGTTTGATTTCTTTTTTTTTTTGGGGGGGGGGGGGGAGGGGGGGTGGTCATGGTTGGAGCATAACAAGGGAACTACATTGAAAAGGGAATACTAATCTGACAAATTTATGTTTAGTAAATGCAGTTGTCAATACATATATAATGTAACACTCAAAACCTGGTTTAGGGCCACAAAGAGGTTTTTTTTAAATATTTACTTGATGTGAGAGACAGGGGGCTGAGAGACTCAGAGAAAGCAATTTGACTGAGGTGAGCATTGTGAACATTAGGTGTCCATCAATATTATAAAAAAAAAATTATGCTAGTATCAACTTTAAAAATAAATATTGAAATTTAGATTTCATCACTGGAGAGTAGATTGCATATTTGTCTTAATTTTATTAGCAAAATGTTTCATTAGCACTTTGTTTTGCAATATTGTCCATGACAATCTTGAGTTTGTTTTTGAAATTATGGTCAAAGTTTTAAAATTCTAGCATTACTAGGTATATGATTAAACATGTACTATCTTGTATATAATTATGTTGATTTTGTTTTCTTTACTTGGTAAAATTGTAATTTGGAAACCATGGACAAAATAAAGAAATTAAAAAAAAATGTTTGTAAATCATTAAATCCCCTAGTAATTACTCTTACCAGTAATGATTTTGTATCTATTGAAATGTAGCTAGGATGTAATGGAATTTAAAAATGTATGTGTGACAAAATATATGTACTAAAACAAGCTCATTCACATTAATTTTACAATGTCTACTTTATTTGTGATTCATTGTTGATAATTACAAATCTGGAAGTTATCAATACTTGAAATACCACATTTTTAATTACAAAGTGGAAAAAAATTCATTCAAAAACTTTAATTTTGATGTTGCACAATTTTCATTGCCTGGAAGCAAAGATTTGAAGAATTTGTTATAACAACACACTATCAAACAAATGTTCAATAATAAATTATTATTTTAATTCACTACAATTTATTACACACAACTTCCATTTTTATTGTGTTTATATAATTAAAAAAAAATCATAAGTAATTCTCCTTTACTTTTTAAAATAAACTTAATATAGAGGTGTTTTATTAATTTGTCTGTAGTTTAAGTTTCTTCATTTCAGACCATTATGTGCCTCCATAAAAAGAAGTGGTCTGGAAATTTTTTTTTGCTAAAAATAGATCACGTGCTTCTGTCCATGAACTACTTTCATGGTTCTTTACACTCATTTTGAAGATAACAGTGCCTTGTTTGTAACTGGAAATTACCATTTAACAGTGCAAAATTTAGACATTTTCTCAACAAATGATTGTAGGGAGAACATTAAGGCACACTTTGCATATTTTTTTGGATTTTTTAAGGCTCTATTAAAGTGTGTAGCTGCGCAGTTCTAGAGTGCATATCAAAAGCAATTTTCTGCAAAAGTGTAAATTATTTACGCAAAACATGCATTCAACTATGCATATTTATTGTTTCTTCATTCTAAGGACATAAAATTTGATCAAGTTATAGTGTACTTTAGTCATTTGAAGAAATGTTTACTTTTTGTTTTCATTCCACCTAAGGTGGCCGGACATCCCCCTTAAACTTCACGTGATTATATTATTCGAAAGCATAATATAACATGTAATATGCATGCATCAATAAATTTGTTACACATTCTTCTTCCTTTTCATATTTCCATTTAATTTTTATGTGCCACCGATTTGTAAATAATTCGATTAAATCACTCGCATCTAGGGTAAATTTTGTTGGTGTGCATCAGCTGGGCACGGAAGTGCCCTTTATTTTCGGGCTTCATCATTATATGTTATGCCATTCGGAACATTAGTTGCAAGAGGAAAAACAATCCCGAATTTTCTCTTAATATTAACAGTTAGTTCTGTGTATAACAAGATAACTGAATCTAGCTGATTCTTAACATTTTACATACGAACTTGATAATCAATAATCATCATATTTTTATTACAAGACCTTTTTTAATTTAATGCAAGGATTTGTGACGAATTTAAAAAGTCGGAGTTACCCTTCTTACACTTTAGTGACCAGCTGATGCACACCAACAAAATTAACCCTAGATTCGATTTAGCATTTGAGATCAATATATGCGCTAGAATAAGTTGAATGCTTACTTCCACGCAACGACGTAACATGTATCAGCAAAGTCAAACGTTCTACTTAAATTTAAATTTAAAGTTAAGTTAAACGCTACTAAAAGTAATTTTTATTTGACTTCCGCTTGGCTTTTAACAATCATAGACACGTCGATGTCCTCTGAATCATAATGCATTGACTATTACAGCTGTAAAACGAAAAAAAGGGTTTTTTGAAGGACAATACTTCTAAAATGCATTTAAAGTTCTGAACTACATTTAATCATATGCTGAAATTGTAAGAGTGTTGTTGTTGTCTGTGTGTTGTCGGGGGGGGGGGGGGGGATTTATGTTTCAGTGAGTGCTTCCTTTCCTAAGTTTCTTAACTGACAACGCTTTCCTGTTTTTATTGTTCAGGCTCCCATTTCCATAGAAGATTATGATAGTTGTTTTCTTTCCCTGGCTTTTATAACTAACCAATGTTACAGAGCAAACGTCATTGTATTAAAAATGTTCTGTGAAACAATAAAAGGTTTTGTAGATTTGTCTCCATTCTATCATCACTGTCTTATGAATCATATTTTCATTATATTTATACGGACTGGGTCTGTTATTTTTCTCTGGAAGTTCGTCTTACTGTCAATGTAATTCCAACTTAACATTTATTTAACCAGAGGCTAAACATATAGGGTTCCATTTGAAATTTAGCGATTGTATAAGAAAAGCAATCTACTTAATGCTGGTAAGACATTACATGGGCCAGTTTTGTATGTATTTCAAAACAATGAACATAATATTCCAAAATTTTACAATACATCCAAACACAAATATCCTAATTGATATTGAGAGTTCATGTTTCAAAGAATAAACTTTTGAATGTCGGTAAATATATTTTGCCATAATAAAATTGTATGTTATATTTACGCAGTACAGTTAAGGCAACATTTTCTATAAAAAGACACTGAAATCAAGACACTTGAAGTTTAACCGTCTTATTTTCTAGCATACGACTCTACTGAAAATATCTTTGTGTCTTCTTGAAGAGTGTGTCCTTCGCTTTTAATATTGATATTTTTTGTCATCATGTGACCCTTAGTAGTCTCGTGGGCTCCTACTTTAGCTCAAGATATAAAATATCAAATTTAACCGAAAAGTTCAAGGGCAAGGCAAAGAAAAATTACACTGCACAAGGTTTCAATGTGTCCCCAAATATCTATCCTATCTCAAAAATAATGCTCATTCAGTAAGATTTCTGGTATTATTTAGTTATTCAGTAAAAACAAAGACCGGTATTGAAAAAATAGGGTACTTTCCGCATTTCATGTGAAATAATAAATTACTTAGCGAATTACAGAGAAATGAGCATCACTTTTCAAAAAGTATGCAGTAAAATAAATAATTTAATACAAAAACCTACCTCTTCATATGTCGCCTTGCCCTTGAACTTTTTAGTTTAAAATCGAAGTCTTGAAACATTCATTTTAAATATAGTTTTCAAACGCATTAGTGACCCGGCACGGGAGGTAACTCTTTGGTATTTGTAGAGTTTGTTTACCTCGCTAATTTGAACATGTAACATCTACAGACTATGCTAGGCTTTATTCTACTTATTCAAAACGGTATGCATATAAAGATCTTGACTTTAATTACTTTCCTTTGTATGTCTTCGTCATTTTCATACACCAGACAAGACCTTGTTGAATACCTTCCGCATTTTCTCGATGATCTAGGCCTTTATCATGTACGTATATACATGTATAACACTCAAGTTTATCGGCACTGCCGCAAAGTACATCATATAAGTAAGATTGAAAAAATGTCCATTACTATATTTCAATCATTTCTGATAAACGTGTAGATCTCCCCTCCCTCATATGATGAGAAACCATTCATTCCCCCCCCCCTACACACAGACATAATAAAAAATATATATCTACAACAGAATGAAGTTTCACATATGGGTTTTCCTCAGTGGCTCTCCAAAATCTTCTTTTGTTTAAGAGTTCCTGTTGGCTTATAAATTACTCAGATATAAAAACCAGGTGAGGGTTATTTACACCTGTTAATATAATTAGTTCTATCCTCCTTTCTGCATATCTAACCCTTTATATTTTGCTTCTTAGCTCCCTTGATAAAAGGACAATGATATATACTTGGGCATTGTTAACTTGTAAACATCAAGATCTAGTTTTTATTTATTAGGATTTAACCATTGTATCTCATTTAGAGTGGGTGCTTTCATTTTGTTTTTTAAAAGGCGGGGGGGGGGGGGGGGTCTTTTCCCGTGATAAACTTGTCTGTGTATAAAAGCTTAGGGATTGATATTTTCTCCAAAAAAATTAAAGCACCCGAGCTAAATGATATAAAAATGTAATCAGAAAATAGATACTTCCTTGATACAAGTGATCATGATAAATATGTAATTATGCCAATATTAGGCTTTATTTGGTTCAATGTATCTAAAACACCATGTTCATGCAAGTCTGGATTTTCACACCTTTACAGCCTTAAAAGCTGACATTCATATCACTGTTGCCATTGAAAGATAACAGTTAAAGTATTATTCATCTAGTAAATTTATTTAATAACTACAGCTTCTCCCATACAAAGCCAGGCTGTGAGGGTAATTCTGAGCAGGTGCATAGTTTTTCCATCAAGACATGTACTCTGGGATAAAATCCATTCTAAAAATAAAATGAAATATTATTAAGTGTGCTGGTGATTTAAACAGTAAAACTTGAAACAATGTAATGAGTAAAATCTAATGAAATCACATAAAAATGTATCAAATATCTGTAACTCTGCTGTTTTTATTTATTAAAATAACTTTTAAAATAATAGTGCCATGAATATATGTGTTGTTGATATCATTAAGCATACCTTTTTACTTGGTCCATACACTTGCTGCCTGTGTCAACACTGGAATGGTTCAAATTCTTTGTGAACAGCTACTGTAACATAAAATATACCAAAAATGTAATGAGTCAAATACATATTAGTTAAAATAAATGGCACTGCAATGTGCAAAACAAACCATGTAATATAACATTTTCTAAAATTCATGAAATCTTTTGTTACAAAACTTCTCTGGGAATTTTAAAACTCTGCCATTTGCAATTTAGCAATTTAAGCTTGGAAAATAACTGATTAAAGGAAACAAATTCATAAATGAAATTCTTGCATCTGTTCAAAATTGAAAAACTATTATGTTGGCATACAATAAAATTATTGTGAAATATATTAATAGTGAACATACCATGTTTAGAAATTGTTGCATATGTTTTCTGTAGATAACTCTGGATTATATGCATGCAGCACCTGACAGCTACAATGATGAAAGAATTGTACATCATGTATTCAGACCAGAAAAAATAAAATAACATGATATTCAATTTTAAATTTAGAAATATCATTCTACAGATTTAGAATTTCATAATACAGATGCTAAGAACTATTTGAAAGTATGAAACACTAGCTGGTGAAAATTTAAACTTTAAATCCTATTTTTGATTTACAGGACTGGGGTATAAAATGAATACATGCATGTATATTACATACACAATACAGTTTCACTTTACAGAAATATACACTTTATGGATGTGCTAAATTATCATTTGATATCCTGCTTTCCTTTTCAAATTACATATTATAAGATGATTGTATGTCAACATAATTATATGTTTAGTGAATCTTTTATCAATGATTGAAATTGAACAATAATTAATTTTAATAAATTTAACAGCAAACTTTTGCATGCCTGAAGATCTCCATGATACATAGCCTACATTCTCTCAAAAATTAGTTGAACGACAAGGAATTGCATATTCAGTGCAAATTAAACTGTTGTTGTGCAACTTCATATCATGTTTGTGTGTGTAAGGGGGGGGGGGGGTAGACACAGCTCCTGGGCACTGCCAATATATCTTCCTACATGTATACATATTATACATACACATTCGATTATTTCATATTGATGTTAACAATAATATGTAAAAATCTTGATACCTATGCGTACATAATATACGAATCTAAATATGAAAACCCCTGCAGCTGCCCAGGGTAGAGAGGTGGGGTGCAATAGCCTCAGTAGTCCATGATTTCTCTAAATATCTGCCTCATCTGATAAACAAACCATAAATCTGTTACTTTATTACTGTTCTCTTTAAAAGATTTACCTGTTTGCTGTATTTTCCACCGCAAATCTCAGCTGCTGTCTCCACGTCCTTTATGTAAACAACATTCCGTGTCACTGAGTGCAAGCGCTTGGCTGAAGCCGAGTGCAGCCAAACGACACAATAAAAAGCGAACTATTTCGACAATATGATGTTCTAAACAAGAGAAAATCACTACTTCTAATTTATTTAAAGACAAGAATACGGACATTTGTTACAAATTCTTGCAATTGTCGTTAAATAGTTATTTTGAGCTCTAATTCCTTATATAGGTATATCAGGGCGGAGCGACTGTCATGACGTCAAACCTCATTATGACCTCATTACCATAAAAGTTTCATGGGTAGCCTTAACTGTACTGCGTACAGATTTTTTTTTTTATCGTGGTAACCTTTGCTGCTTTAGCTATGTGTCTGAGGATGCCTTCACCTGTACCTCAAAGAAATGTCTACAGATAATCGATATATTAAACATAAATATCTGCTACCGATTACATGTAAATGTGAATAATGAAATACACACGGGTCAGTTAAAACCATATTTATTCAAATAAATCATAGTAAAAAGCAAAGATCAGAGCAGAGTATGAAGAGAGAGAGAGAGAGAGAGAGAGAGAGAGAGAGAGAGAGAGAGACTTAATTCCCAAATTCTTTATAATCATGCCACCTGATCACACAGCTGAGTGTTCGAGCAAGTAAAGTCAGTAAAAGAAATGCGCATGGACATTAAAACGTTTTTTTTTTCTTTCGATATTCCTTGTCTCTAGATGAAAAGTAGACGTGAGTCATGTTATACGTCATATTTATTGCTTAAACTGCGGATTCCAAAACTTCGCGCATGACGTCACGTTTTGTGCTGTCTTCGTCGGTCACAAACTGGACCCAGGCTGTCACAATCTCTCCAACTGGCACCAATTCTTTATCAAAAAGTTTAAAGGCCTCTCGAACAGGGTCCTCTTTGTTGTGTCCAAAGGCCTTAAAAATAAGAATGAATTGATCAAGGTCAATGGAGCCATCTTTATTTGTATCACTGACGTTAAAAATCGCTTCAAAACATTTCTGTATGTTGGCCTTGAAGTCTTCCTTGTCCTTTTCATAAGTGACAGTGACACTAGAAATAAATTGCTCTTCAGATACTTGATCTTTGCCGTTCAGGATGTATGTTATCCACCAGTTTTGATGTCTGCCTTGACGGAGTCGGCCTTGTCGCCAAAAAGATGGTGAAGTTCCGTAAATTTATTTCGGGACTCTTCGACATCTTCCAGCGAGATCTTCCCGTCGAGGTTGACGTCCAAGGACTTATACCACAGCTTCCATTTCTGTGTCAAGTAGTCCATCTTTTATTTTGATATCTAAAAGCAAAGAATGAAATAAGAAAATAACGAACAGTATTTAATCTCGAAAGTCCAATGAAACGATACAAATTAGAAGCAGAGCAAACACGGACCTCAAAATTTAGAGGTGGGATCAGGTGCCATGGAGGAGTGAGCATTCCCTCCCGATCGGTTACACCCGCCGTGTGCTCATTGACATGATCGGCGAAATAAAAACAAGGAAAAATCTGTAGACATTTCAGTGTATAAATAATGGCCTAACAATTAGTATGAAAAAAGTCAGTCAGCATTTGACTCAATGATAGACTGTATTTGCTGACAAGGTCATTGTATCGACCATAAAACTTGCGAAATGATGACTTCAAACGAGACTTTTGATATCCTTGTTTCATCAACTTGTTTGTCAATAGCTTGCCTCGTTCAAGAAATTGTTCATACGTAGTTCTCTTGCGTATCGAATCAACTGAGAGATATAAACCCCATATGCAAGTGTTAAGGGTATATTGCTACACAAGGAAGGGAAGTTAACGATAGAAAAGTTGAAGTCATCACGTTTATCATAAAGCTTTGTTGTTAGGTTACCATGAACGTTTTTTTCTAGTAAAATATCTAAATATGAAACAGATGTGTCAGGCTCTATGGTATGTTTTTTTTCAAGCTCACTGGGATATTTCGAGTCGACATATGAATGGAAGTAACTATTGTTAATTGATAATACGTCGTCGATATATCGAAATGTCGAGTTGAAGAAATTTGAGACAGGTCTTTAATTTTCTAACGGAGAATTATTGGATTTCCATATTTCATTCAAAGATTACTTATGAGCAGAGGATGTGTCGTATTTTTTACCAATGTAATTTCAACAAGTTCAAGGTCATATTTACAAAATTGCAAATAGGCACTTAAAAAAAATGCAACGGGGAATTATTTTGTGAGCTCGCTCTCCAGACCTCTGCTTGGTACTGTTGTATTCTTTTGTACTTTATTGCTATTCAAATCTTTAAACTCTATTGTTGATTTTATAGGATAGGAATCCAGTATAGGTATGATAGTACAAATACCATTTCTGCTTGAACTTTCAAGTAGGGCGTGATATTCTCGGCTATACATAATTAGCGTCTCTCAAATAGTGACCTAGATTCTCATTGGTTGCCAGATTAGCTCAACAACACTGAAATTTACCGGTTTTATCGTTTCTTACAGTAAAGAGGTATGGCTTATGTCATTTCATTGTTTGTTAACAACAATCTAAAGTTGCTAATGTTATGAATTTCTTAACCAATGAGAATCTAGGTCACCATTTGAGAGACGCTAATTATGTATCGCCGAGATTGTCACGCCTTACTAAAAGTTCAAGCAGATATGGTTTTTGTACTAAGCTTAAGTCAAACTCAGTTTGAATGTTGGAATAAAAAAAAAACACGATTAAAACAACGAGCCTTACGAACGAAGGCAATTTTGTTACCTGCTTTGTCAGTTGTGGCCAGTATATAATGATCTTGTAATCTAATTCTTTTTTTTCACTTCTGAACTAGAGAAGACAGATAAGACAAAGATAGATGGTCTTCATATTGCCACTCAATCGCTTAATGCGAGATTACAACATCCATCTGATACTTTTAATCTATTCCTACAAAGTGACAAGGTCCATTGTTATGTTTGGCCCATTACCTGGCGTAACTCATAATACTTACGAAATATTGATGTACGGTGAAAGATTGGGGTTCCCTAAATTTTGGCCCTTTAAATTAAGCAATTTTAGGGCCGTATTATTAACTATATTTGTGTCACCAACACTGGCATGTCCAGAAGGACTATAGTTGTAAGATGAAAAAGAACATGAACACGCAGGAGTTTTATGTTTCAGATGTTCGATATCTAGGCTCTTTTTAAGCAATTAAAAAGTTTGGAAGCAATAGTCGATGGATATTTATGAGGAACTTGTGGACTTTAACTTGAAATATGGTGGAATACAGAAATGGACCCTATTGTGATTATGAAAATTACTTGTATTTACAAAGTAAATCTTTTTTGTTGGCTGATTTAGGTTTAAGGAGCAGACGGGTTTCTTAAAGGTGCTTAGACACAGATTCGAAGTTAATATTTACTCAAATTTTCTGTATAATTTAATGACTTGTATGTTGCTTTAGCATTTCATACGAAAATTTGAAATAAATCTTATTTTATTTGGAAGTTATTGAAACTTCGAATTTCTAGATGCGTTTGATAGACACATCCTTGCACTATCACAAATTTTAACTTTATCCTTATTACTTTAGAAAAGTAGCAATTTTGTTGATTATTAATGAAGAATATCAAAACTATAATGCAGAAATTTCAGAGTGGAAATGTAGAAAGCAAAATCCTCTCACCAGTATTGTCAGTCCGTGCTCAGTGGTGTGTGCAGAGTTTAACAATTGAACACACCCGGTGAAACGTAAACATTAACAACAACAGAGCTCGTGCCCTGTTTACAAAAACAGTTTACGTTTCACGGGTGTGTTCAATTTGTTATACTCTGTACACAACTACACAACACTGAGCACGGGCTGACAATACTTAAGTGAGTGGGTTTTGCTTTCGCACATTTTTAATCTGAATTTTCTGGATTATAGATGTAATATTATTAGGGATGGCAACGAATATTCGGACATTCGAATATTCATTCGATGAGTTGATATTCGAATATGAATTTAAGATTCGAATATTCGGTGTTTTTCAGATTTCATAAAAAGAAATACTGTGATTAATAATTTTGATTAGAACAGTGCTGGAATTATCCCTGTTTAATTTACTAGCGATCAATTTCGATCGCCTGATTTCTTTCACTACTTTCTTATCTTATAGATCTACTAAATTACATGTATTTTGTTTTGAGTAAGGTGTTAAAGAATTGTACAATAATGCTTTATGTATAATACAAAAGTACTTTCTTAGAAATCTTAGAATGTCTAAAAGGCGTGGAGTATAAATTAATTGATCATTGAATGAATGTCCGATAGAATTAGTCTGTTATTAATATTGTAAAGGGCTTAAATTAATTGATTATCTCGGGTTGTACATAATCCTGAATTTTATATTCATTATCGGGAAATTAGTTAATTACCTAGGAAAATTGTCCATGGAAATATTTGTTTACATTGTATCAAAGATTATAATCATATCTCTTATTAGGTAGATAATTGTAATTCATTACACGTATTGAAATCTGAACAGTATACCGTTACGATTATCTTGCCTTTTATAAGACGAATGGTTCCTCAGTTGGAGCTATTATAAAGACACATATGCATGTTTTATTTGTTGAAATTATACTTTTCCTCAGTTGGAGCTATTATAAATACACATATGCATGTTTCATTTGTTGAAATTATACTTTTCTACATTTAAATCAATTATTTATTTCAAACATTGACAAATATCAAATGAAATTTCTTATTGTACACTTAAAAAAGTCTTCATACAATTTTACTTCCAATATAAGTATACCTACGCTAAAACTTTCATGATTGTAGGATGATGCATATTTAAAATAATACAGATTTTATTTATTTTATCGAATATTCGAATATATTCGAATACTTTCATTGAATATTCGAATATGAATTATTGACAAAATTGACATCCCTAAATATTATTCATGAATACACAACAAAATTGCTACTTTTCTTAAATATTAAGGATAAAGTTAAAATTTGTGAAACTGCAAGGATGTGTTAATCAAACGTCTCCCGAAATTCGTAGTTTCAATAATTTCCAGATTAAATAAGTTTTTTATTTCATTTTCGTTTGAATGCTATAGCAACATATAAGTTGTGATATTATACAGAAAATTTGAGAAAATATAAACTTCAAATCTGTGTCTATGCACCTTTAAGAAGTATTCTTTTCCTTAAACCTGGCTGTTTAAAAAACAGAACCTGTGCTTTGCCATATCCATAATCACAGGTCAAGTCTGTATTCTGGTATGGAAGAGTCCAAGTGTAGACTTTCCTTTGCCTTTTCAAATAGACCATTTTAAACTTTGTGACGAAGACCTAATTGATTATTTAGGCGAGGTAGTAGCGAACCAAAAAGAGACATCGTGTATAAAAGGCTTAGTGAAAGACCGCAGTCCATGATTATGCTTACATCTCTCTGTATTGTTAAAAAGTCCCATCACATTCACATTGCTACATTGATGACTTAAAAGATCCCCAACACTATCAACATGGTCATTGCTACCATATGGAAAGGCGCCTAGTTTTCTTATCCAGAATTCTTCTTGTTGTCTACGGAAAGATGTACTCAATGATGGGCTGTTAGTATGATGGGAAATCTTTTATAGAGTTCTAAATTTCAGAATGATCAGGTAAATTAAAATGCTTTTAGAGAAGCTGATGGTCCCCGATGTAAGTTTGAAATCTATGACCCGATATTCCTTTATTAAATGAACCCATGGTTTCATCAACATGAATAAACCAACAACTTATATACTTATTCCATAGGTCATGTCAGATAAAATTTCAAGATAACGAGCAGTAATCAAGCTCAAAAGTCCATTGAAACAATATAAATCGGGAGCAGAGCAAACACGGACATCTAATAACATCAGAGGTGGGATCAGGTGCCATAAAGCATTAAGCATCCTCTGTCAACCGACCACAGTTCAGATTTCCTTAATTTTGGTACAGAAGCTTTGTCAGATAGCTAGTAAAAGTGTAGATTTTAATCAAACATCACAGGTTTTTACACTTTTTTGGCAGAACATTTAGAAATAGATGACAAAGTTTCGGAGAAGGATACTTCAAATCTATTTTTAATCGAAACTTTATATTTATCCAAATTTTTGTTGGTTTTATCCCAAAAATGGGACTCGGAATACTGCACACATGATTGATTGATTGTATGTTGTTTTACGTCCCGTTCGAGAATTTTTCACTCATATAGAGACGTCACCATAACCGGAGAAGGGCTTCAAATTTAGACCTTTACTCGGCACTCAGGGCCATTGAGCATTGAGGGTTCTTTATCGTGCCAACGCCTACTGTGACACGGGGCCTCGGTTTTTAAGGTCTCATCCGAAGGACCTGCAACTTTCACTTCAAACTGCCGAGCGCTTGGCGAAGGAACAGTTGCTGCCTATTTTTTTTTTTTATCGACTTAGGTCAGTCGCTGCCTTGATTCGAACACACGACTTTGCGATCACGGAGCGAGCGCTCTACCGACTGAGCTACCCTGACGGCGGAATACTGCACATAACACCAAGGAGGATTATCCGAGGGACACCAATATCAGAAAAATTATGAAATATCACTAAAGTAAGTAACTAAAACACAAAAACTACGCAGTAAATTCAATAATTGCGAAAAGAAAAACAACATAATAATTAAATCACACTTAATCCCACCTTAATTTATGAGTAAAATGTGACGGTACCGAACAAAATTTAAACTCCGATCGGTATTTAATTAATTATTAATTATTAACATGGCATTTTTTTCAAAGTTTAATAAAAAATAAAAGGTAAATATCTGGATCAATGTTAAGATTACTCGTTAATAAAAGTTATTGTGTTCGTTCTTTTAAAGTATGAAAGGGCGTGGGGCTCTCATTAATTTAAAATTATAATTTTTTTTTTTATCTAACACTTTTAAGAAGGGAAGTAAAAAATCTAGAGTATTTTATTTCATATTTGTCACAGTGGAAAAATATCGTTTTGATGTAAGTTCACAGTGTGAAAAAATATTTTTCCATTTATGAATTACAAAATCCGGGTTGAAAATTTAATAAATACATGTATGTGGTGGTGCGTTTAGTAATAAGAGATCATAGGAAATCTATACCATATTAAAACTGAGTTTCATTATGCAATTATGAGTAACTTTAAACTTACAGATTTGTAACAGAATCTTCAGAACACAACAGAAGTCCTATATTTGGTGAGTAGAAATAAGTTATCTGTTATCCTTGCGATTCACAAAAACAACAGGGCATCATGTGCAATGCAACAAGTATACATATACCATTTTACGGGTTTTCCGAGAGAGATAATCAATATATGTTTAAACAAAAAAACAAATGTCATACAGAATAAGTAGTGTAAGGGTTGCAGAAAATGTAATGTCACACATTTTTTATTATACTTGGCGTTATTTCAGAAACAATTTATCAAGATATGTGTGCGTTTAAGGTTCCGATTAGAATTTTTTAAAAAATAATATTGATATATTTTTTGAATATTGACTGCTATAAAGAAACGATAAAGGAAAAAAACTTAAGTTCTATGCTACAGCATTTTTGATAAGTGGTGTAAATTAAACGTGGATTTTTAAAACCCTAAAGAACTTTTAGAGAGTTAAAAATAACAATTTTGCTCAAAAGTAAGCAACATCAAAATGTATGACTTTTCTACACGGTATACGGTCATTCCTCATGATCAATTTAAAAAAAAAAGTTGTTTTTTTTTATTTTATAGACAACTACATCTTTATTAAAAGTTTTATTCGTCATATCTTGTGAATGGTCATCTTCAAAAATACTTCGGAAAAACCTACATCCAGATTCTTAACACAAGTACTCTGACGTCGATATTAAAAGAATCGTGGAGTTCCTCATTGAAACATGTATTTAGTATTTGGAGTCTTCCAACAATCTATCGGAATTTCGATGCGTAATTGTACTCCTTTATAAGTTTATCTATTTTTTTTCAAATCCCTATAAAGCGGAATTTATTGAAAAAAACTTTTATATGAAAAGGAGAAAATACTTTCTGTGGCCTTCAACTCGGCATACAGATATATCTACGGCGTTTAATTAATTAGCATTAGTAACTTCAATTCATATGTCGACTCGATATATGTCAGTGAACTCGAAATAAAAGACCCTATAAAGTCTTCCACATCTGTCTCATATTTAGATGTTTTACCGTCTATAGACGATAAGGTTCCACTAACAACTAAATTGTGCTATAAACGAGATGCCCTCAGCTTTTCCATCCTCAATTTTCCATATTTATGCAGTTATGTTCTACAATCACCTGCAAATAATGTTTATATATCTCAACTTATTCGACACTCAAGTGCTATGAGTACGACCAATATTCAAAACGAGGTATGATACTGACAAATAAATTTATGTCACAGGGATTAAAAAAAAGTTTAATGCCAGCATTTAGTAAATTCTATAGTCGTTATAATGTCCTCTTTTACAAACAATTATTCTAACAAACAACAACCTATCAACTGACATGTATGAAAAAAGTGAAGATAACGAACAGTGATCGACCTCAAAAATCAACAATCAATACAAATGTGTGAACAGGCCAAAAAAACGGACCCCAGGAAACTCCTGGTAGAGTCAGTTGCCCTGGAGGAGTAAGCATCCCCTGTTGAATGATAGACTTTATCATGATAGATCACTGTTTCTTTATCTACTCCTTTTGCAATATTATTTTTTTTTCAAAGAGAGATAATAATGTCGATATTTTTAATTTAAATCATAAGGTACATCCTTGCTTCACAAATAGATGTCAGTTTTTGGATTACATGTAGTTTGTCCAATGGTGAATTAGACAAACTAATTCATTATAATTCTCCTACGTATTCATGTTCTTCTTCACCCTACAATTATAATCTTATGGATACGTCGGTGCTGGTGAATTGAATATTAATAAAAATGATAACAATAATTATTATAATAATAACTAGATCAGATATCTCCGTCCAAATATGGATTTTAATGAGATATTCGTCCATATTAATGATATGATTGCTTCCTTTGACTTCATTCCTGTGGTCGTCTAAAGTTCTTTTGATCATGATCAATAATTCTTTTCAAAATGTTTTAGGTTTTATTAGAAATCAATGATCAAAGATTGATCGTTCTGGTTCATAAAAACCCTTAATAACCTATCATGAGATTAAAGTATCACTACCTGTAGTAAGAGATCTTTTAAATAAACAAAATAATCATTTTTATTTTATTGATTATAGCAAAAAATTGGTTTGTAAAAGAGCTAGAGATTACAGACTTTCGGCCCCTCCTCATTTAGAATTTGAGGGTTCAGTCCTTTTTCTTGATATCATAATGAAATGTCTTGTGATTTTGAAGACTTTTTGTTCAACAACCATTCAAAAGTTTCTTGTCGTTTTCAAGATATGTAGAATAGAAATGTTTAGGGACCAGCCCTGCAAGTCCTTAATGGGGCCGTTTTGCAAAAATTGAAAGGAGAGTATTGTTTAGAACATTATTCTGAAATCTTTTATTCAACAATGCCTTTCATTGTTAAATAAACATTTCGGCTTCCGTAATTTATAACAAAATATTGATCGTTTGTTATAGTTGAAATACTTTTGGCGCCTCTGAGCACCCTAATTTGAGAGGCCACACCTTTTCCTTAATATCAAATGAAAGATCATGTCATTTTGCACAACTTCTGTTGTATATATGTTTTACCAAAGTTTGCAAGTACGACGATATGAAAGAAAACGATGATTTTGAGCCTAACTTCAAGCCCCGGCGAGATACCAAATGGAACAACTACACTCTTTTGTCTACCTTCACCGAAAATCTTAACTTAATATCTTCAGTCTTTTAGGAGGAGTTTGAAGGACAAACCGACCCTCTGAAAATTTATTAGCATACTATAAAATTATTATGAATCGTTTTAATAGTGAATATACCATGTTTAGAAATTTATTGATGTATCTATTTTGAGTAGATAACTCTGGGTGAAATGCATGCAGCACCTGCCAACTACAATAACAACTGTACAGGTAGTCAGACCAGAGAAATAAAATATTCAATTTTAAATTTAACAAGATGTGTTTGTGAAAAACTGATGCCCCCGTATGGCAGCTTATGGCGAAGGTTAAAGTTTCTCAAATGCAAGTCAAAATCCAGGCCAAAAGATAAAAAATGTTAAATTTAGAAGCCCTAGCTGCAACTGTTCAAAAGTTATGGCGAAGGTTAAAGTTTTTTAAAAGTAAGTAAAAATCAAAGTCAAGGTCAAAGTTGTTGGTATCCAAAGGAAGGTCTTGTCACAAGGATTACATATGTAAAGTATGAGAGCCCTAGCACCAACCATTCAAAAGTTATGGCCAAGGTTAAAGTTTTTCGAAAGTAGGTCAAACTCCTATGTCAAGGTCAAAGGGTCAAAGAGGTTGATATCCAGAGGAAGGTCTTGTCACAAGGATTACAGATGTGAAGTATGAAAGCCCTAGCACCAACCATTCAAAAGTTATGGCCAAGGTTAAAGTTTTTCAAAAGTAGGTCAAACCCCAAGGTCAAAAGGTCAAAGTGGTTGGTATAAAAAGGAAGGTCTTGTCACAAGGATTACATATGTGAAGTATGAAAGCACTAGCTTTAACCGTTCAAAAGTTATGGCCAAGGTTAAAGTTTTTCAAAAGTAGGTCAAACTCCTAGGTCAAGGTCAAAGGGTCAAAGAGGTTGATATCCAGAGGAAGGTCTTGTCACAAGGAATACACATGTGAAGTTTGAAACCCCAAGCACCAACTGTTCAAAAGTTATGGCCAAGGTTAAAGTTTTTCAAAAGTAGGTCAAACTCCAAGGTCAAGGTCAAAAGGTCAAAGTTGTTGGTATCCAAAGGAAGGCCTTGTCACAAAGAATACACATGTGAAGTTTGAAACCCCAGCACCAACTGTTCAGAAGTTATGGCCAAGGTTAAAGTCTCATAAAATTTTGCAAAAGTGGGTCAAACTCCAAGGTCAAGATCAAAAGGTCAAATATGATGGTACCCCAAGAAAGGTCTTGTCACAAGGAATACACATGTGAAATACGAAAGTCATAGCTCCAACCAATCAAAAGTTATGGGCAAGGTTAAAGTTGACAACAGACAGACAAACAAACAGACAAACAGATAAACAGACAAACAGACAAACAGATAAACAGACAAACAGACAGGACAAAAACAATATACCCCCGGGATCTTTACCCCGGGGGGCATAAAAATACCATTCTACAAAATTAAAGTTAAATAATACAGATATAGAAATTCTAAGAATTACAGACCCTAAAACGTGCTACTACACCACTTCGGTTCGTTTCGTTTTGTGTACGGTACGGTACGCTTCTTGCACGGAACGGTAAGCTTTGTGTACGGTACGGTTCGCTTTGTGCATGGTACTGTACGCTTCTTGCACGGAATGGTTCATTTTATGATCGGTACGCTTTGGTGAACGGCATGTAAATTAAGTGGGCGGAGCCTGTGCGCTTTAGTTCATAATTGGCTACTTCATAAAGTCGTTTATTTTTTTTATTATAATCTCTTTATTTTGCGGTATCGCAAGCATTCTTAATAAGTTGTTTTTAAGTTAAAGCTGGTATAAATATTTTCTTTTTTCAGCTGTTTTTTCGTTATTACATGTAACTAGTCGTCTTATTAACGGTATCTTTTCTTTAATTTACTTTCTGTATTAACTACTTTCAATTTTTAAAATTAAATTATTTTAATTGTCTATTTATTATCTTATTTTGTACACCATCGCCTTATGGTTCAATAACTTGGAAATAAATCGAACATATCAACAAACACTGCATAACAAGGATGAAAAAAATATTTTGGTTGTGTCGACATAAAGGCCTTTCTGTATTTTTTTTTCTTAAAGAATAAGCGTACATATGATTTTTTTTTTCCTTTTAATATTCCTAATTGAATACAATTATTATTTTAAATATTCACTTATCATACTTTTAAACAAATGAGTTTGATTTTATAAATCCCTCATGCTTTCATTTCGTCTACCATTCTTTTGACGTTCTTGTCGCTGTTGCTTCATTAAAAAAAAAACAACAACAAACAAACAAACAAACAATTTTTTTTCTTTTGACCGAATGATCAAACAAACAAAAAAAGTTATTATTATCATATCTATTTGCGAGAAATTTTAATTTTTTTTTTTTTTTTTTTTTTTTTTTTTTTTTTTTTTTTTTTTTTTTTTTTTTTTTTTGCATAGATTGCTTAGGTGTTTGGCTCACTAGGAAAAATACATTGAAAAGTAATCGGTA